TCCGGATGTCATCATCCAGCAGCTCGGACTCAAGAATTGCCAAGACACGATCGTCGGCGACGCTATGATCCGTGGTGTGTCTGGTGGCGAGCGGAGCCCGGTTGACCCAGCAAGAGTGTGATGGTGCCTGGTTTGAAGACACCACTGACATTCTTGAGGATTTGCTTGCGCACCGAGCGTTTCTTGGGCCCAGCGAAGGCCTTTTTCACGGTGTTGGGCAGCGTCGGTAGCTCCTGTTTGGAGCCATCGTCCTCGACGACAACGATGTCGGCTGTGACTGACAAGTTGTTGAATCGAATGTCCATACGGGGCATCGAACGGCCCGTGGCTGTCTCGATGTTGGACAGCATGAGGTCGTGCAGAGCCTCGGGTCCTTTGGCCATAAGGCCTGTACCCGAGTCAGACGTGATGTTTTTCGCCTCTGATGTCGTGACTCCCATTGCGGTTGAGCTACTGAGAGGTAAATTGAGGAATGACCGATATATCTCTACTCGGGTTTGTGTCGGTATGCATGGATGTCATGACGCTGTGGAGTCGTGAAAACACCGATACTAGTAATGATTATCGTTGAAATGAGCTAATGCACTTGCCACAATCGAAGGTGAAGGCTACTTATTGGTCGAAAGGTAATTGTGCATGACAAGATGGTAGAATCACATGCTTTTTCCATACTGGTGCATAAAGTTTGTCAATAGGATTACGGTGGTAGCTGCCGCTGGACGTAGCAATACGAAAAAAAAGAGACATTCGCGAATTATGATGCATAACTCTGATAATACAATTAGTAAATTTTTTACGGTACAGCATTATGTGGCGCGACAAATGCGTTCTCGAACATAATTAATTTAAACCGCGCTATTTTCGGATTAACTGTAAAAGCTGAATGACGGTTGAACGAGCCTGGGACATCTAACCGGTTTGACTGGCTCACTTGAACGAGGTAACCGGTTTGTGAATCTGATATATCGATATACTGTGTGTGGTCATACCAGTAATTAATAGTAAACCCAAAAGCAAACGTTTCATTACTGGCTCGTTTCTGGCATAGGGGGCTGGGGTAGCAAGCGTACTTGTTGGAGTATCCGATGAGAGGAATACTCCTACTTCCGGAAGCAAAAACTGTTCAAGCGTCCGCGAGCAGTGGCACGCGAAGGCAGATGTGTTTGGCATCGATGTACCTAGAACTGACGAACGTCAAACGGAGGACATCGACTACAAACATGTTCACTTCTGGACGAATCTGTTCAGGCAAGGATCATTTTCCGTACCTGTCGCAGTACGGCATTTTCGCGGTGAAACAGCAATGATTCACGACCAAACAAGAATCTCTACGAGATCAACCAATTACCAGGCCCGATAATGGCATCGACAATCGCAGTGTGGAACGACATCGTTAGGTTTGGGGTAAAACCGCGGTGACTGCCATCGAAACCTCAAAGTCAAAGCAGCCGATCAAAGAACCACGGTAGCACGGCTTGTAAGGATTCCATATCCGCCGGCATCTTCCTAAAGGTCAACCGGAGGGCCGATATCTTATCGTAGCCGCAAACTTATTCGACAAGTGAACCGAAGTGTTTATCATCCCTCTTGCGGCCATCGATAAAAATACGACAACCGTCGACGATATCCGTTTCACCAACGATTATTCGAACCCTCCAGACGCATCGAAGTGAACATCCTTCGATCTCGCACAATCCACCGCGCTGCATTGCCAAGCGAATTCTTCGACTCGAACAGTCGAATCCTGCCGCATGCGTGAGGCTGGGGCGCCCAGCCATATACCGATACACACAGGGTCTGTACACATGTTTGGCTTCCTATACGCCGATATATTAGTCATCAACCTGTCGTGTGGGTTCTGCTGGTGCGGGTCACCAGCCTACTACGCAATCGCAGGGAAGATGATAGCCAACTTTACGAATTCAACCGGAAGTCCGAACACCAGTCCACAGGGAACATCTGGGGCGACGACCGTACCTGCGTCGAAATAGAACAGGGTTCAACATGTGCAGATGTTAGTCTGTCACTGTAACGCACAATGACCGCGATTTTAGGACCTACTGCTCTCAATAAACGGAAATCTGCCAATTGGTCCTCAAGCCCAATCCACCAAGACCACGGCGCTCAGGCTAATGTGGGATGCCGAACGTAGTTGTGTCTCTATTCCAGATGACAAAATTGCCAAAGAGCTGAAACGAGTGAATCGGCTACTTGCAGCACGATCAGTAACCAAGAAAGCTATATTACAAGTAATTGAAGGTCTCCGGCATGTTATTAGCTGGGCGCCTCCAGCCCGTGCATTTTATCAGAGACTCTAGCCTGTGGCCAATAAGACGCATCGGTACGGTGCAGCACTACTCACTGAATCGACCAAGGATAATCTCCGTTGTTTTCGGACTGTACTCCATCAACCAGCGCGATTCAACGAGGTTCCGTTGACTCACTTTGCCGACATGTCAACACCTGATGTACATGTGTACATGGATGCCTGGAGACGGTTTCTGTGCCTTAGAACCTGTTTTTAAAGAGGAATTAAGCTAAACCAGTGAAAGTTCACTGCTTTCGACTTTTATTTATTTCTACTGCTTTGTCTTGTCTGGCGCAAGATTAAGTTCGGTGGGTACTCATTGTTAAGTTCTGGAGCCGCTGACTGCGTCTGGTGGGGTTTTCGTTCCGGCGGCGCGATCGTCGACCTCTTGTCGATTGATACATCCACACGAAGTCGACCGATTCTCTCTCGAACGGAAGGCGTATGCGCCACGGGATGTTTCGCGAGGGCTCCCATGTGAGCTCTCTGTAGCCGACCCACTGCACCAAGTAGTATGTTCTCATATTTACCCACCGCTTTGCATACAGACGCGACCTCATACAGCTCGCCACCTCGGCCTCTGCGTGCTTGGTTGGCCCCCAAACAATCCTCCTTGTGCTCGTTCTTCAAGTAGACCTCCCCTCATGGCCCTCACTTCGTTCTCGTTAGCTCTTACAGATAACTCGTGGCTAAGTCGAAGCTGCCTAAACGAGCCATCTAGCCGTCGATTAAAGTTTCTTGCATGGCGCTGACGGGGGTTCAGGGGGCATCTTGGCGACGGTGCAAGACTAGTTGTGCAGTACTACTACTTACGCCGAGCTACTCAATGCATACTTGCAACACGTCGTCAACGTCTTATAATGCTATAAATGGATTGTATCTCCTTGCACAATTTGCTATTGCAAATATCTTATTTACGCGTGTACCACACACGGGTACAGATGATGAATTGTATCTGCGCCGTTGCTTTAGGCCCATGCAGTAAGTTGAGATACGATGAGCCGTTTTCATTATGATGCATTCATGTGTTTCGGTTTGGAATTTGCAGTTTGTTGTTTCAAGATGAGTTTGGTATACTATCAAATTCAGCTAATTATAGTAAAAGTTGTGAATTTATCGTAAATTGCAAGGAAACACCTATACTTTCTCGATCATGCATGGAATTAATCACAACGTATTTTGGGCCTCTTTGCGTCGCTTCGGTAAGGGACCTAGTTTCTTGCCCCTTTTCCCAACTCGTTCAGGTGCAATCGATAGCGGCGGTACTCCAACCGAGGTATCGACAGTCAGATTTCCGGTAGTTGGCCAGGGCACAAATTGAAAGCTGTAGGTGTCTTGAAAATGTTTAATCGACGCCCTTGCAGCATTGTAAATTCCCTCAATTCGTGTGCCCCTCTCTAGTAGCTGCGTGAATTGCGTGTACGCACGGAAACTCCTCGTCCCGCCAGTTGCCGCACGTACAGGTCATTTCAACACGATTCACAGATCTCCATGGATGGATATCCAGGTGTTTTCACAGGGCCGAGATTCTGAACCGAGTAAACCCCTAGCATGCACGGAGTCGACTGGGACATCTTAGCAACTTCGCTGCGATCTTTCTGCTGTTTCTGTAAAATTGGAACGAGGGCAGCCTTTCCAAATGTCTTCTTGTATTTATTGCCCTCTTGTCGTCTCGTTGATAACAGCCCACTTAGTTTGAGGAAATACATGTGAAATGCGTCCAAAGGCTTAGCACTACGAAGTTCCTTTCCCATCCACGAATTAGCTTGCTCCGAAAGGTTGGATGGAATCTCGTTAAATGTCGGGAGATTATACTTCTCCAAAAACCTGTACTTAACCCAGTTATCCGGGTTAAGAATGAGGTTCTCGTGACGGTCTTTCTTCAGCAAATATTTAGCCGCGCCTGGGTTACTAAGTTTAAGCTCGCTGAGAAACAATTCGTAGTCACTGTCGCAGTCACTGCGGACGAGCTTGCAGATAGTAGCTCTATCGTCAATTGTTAATTTGTTCTTGGCTCGGCTGATATTGTCCATAATGTGCCGGAGACAGAACCGATGACCAGATAGTGGGAACACCTTCTCAACAGCTTCCAGTAATCCTTTCTGACGATCGGACAAAATAGTAATTCTGTCGACAGCGAGAGATTCCTTCACCACCGTCAAAAACCATTGCCAATGGTCGTAGTTTTCCTTTGGTACTAGAGCAAATGCAAACGGAATTATGTGGTTGTTCTAATCTTTTGTGGTAGCGACTAGGAAAACTCCTCGCTGGTTCATCTCAGTTTTTAGATGTGCTCCATCAAAGCCGACAACTGGTTTCGCCATTTTTGCAATGTCAACCCCGACATTGGTCACAAAGCAAGCTCGGAGAAAAGTTTCGTCATCTGCTTGTTCAAATTTCCAATTTGAACCTGGGTTTTTGTCTGCCATGACCGACAAATAAGCACGCAGCTTTTGGTAGCTTTCCAGTAGATTGCCGTGCAATTTGTCGTCAATTTTACGCTTTATGCCAGATACGATTGTGAGGCTTGTATCATATCCCTTGCCGGTCAGGAAATTCTTGACAGCAGTTCCTGACATTGTCGAAACTGAATAATTATGCGAAGAAAGCATATCTGTCTCAATTAGAGCAATCATATCTGAGACTCTCTGGGTTGCATTACGCAAGGCTTTTGGAGGAGCTGGTAGCGATCCTTCACAGGGAGGGGTCTTTGTTGTTCCGACGTGTTTGAGATGATTGTGGGAAAAGTTAGCTTTCGTAACCTTCCACTTTCCATTCTTCCCGGACACATTAACGAAAAATGGACACCACAACTCCTCAACGCTGGTTTCACTGTAAAAAAAACTGCATTCCATTGAGTGTTTTGCCGATGTATTTTGCATTTCCACTGTTGTTTGCCTGCACGCTTTGTGTCTTGACGTACAGTTGAAAACTCCGCTTCTTCGCGAAAGTCTTCCACGCTGTTTGAGCTGCTTGCTGAGAGGGAAACATCGTGTCGGCAATATTCTTGCGTTTGTTATACACTCGGCCATAATTCAGAGAACTAGAATCCGCCATATCAACGGGGACATCTTTCTTCAAAAGACCACTTTTTTGAGAGAAGTCAATGTCAGAAGCCTCCAACACGAACCGAGTTTCCCAAACTTTAGGCGACCGGGTGTACTCGTGTCACCCATTTGCAACCGGTGAGCAAGCTAGCGAATGCGAGGAAAATTATCTAATTATAACAATGCCGCCTTCGATAAGTTCGTCTAGCGCAAATCGAACTTAGCTGATTTTCACTGCTTGTGGGCCCGGAAAAGTTGAAAGCAGTGAACTTCCACTGGTTTAGCTTAATTCCTCGTTTTCAAACGCTATTCTCAATAGCTGAATCCTGCGAGTTGACCGCTAGCTTCGTAGTGCCGTACTGGACGTTTTACACTGTGGACCGTGCTGCAAAAAGCCCGGTCATACGCACTGACCCATGTACAATTCCTCCTTGATAATAATACAGCGGTATCATGGGCGAACCAACCTGCAAGCAAACATCCAACAGCGCAACTCTACAATCGTCTGTTGTCTTTTGCCGACTTCCAGTACAATCTTGTCTACTCAGCATCGCACATTCCGGGGAAACCCAACGTGATGGCTGACGCTGGACCACAGGCATGATGTAGCACATATTCATTGGCTGATCAATGAACTAATTCATCTGCATTTTGGTCACAGGAAAATGTGGCGCCTCCCTTCGACGATCTCTCAACCGTGTGGAATTGCAGCTGCTCCGACAACCCCTTGCACAGTTTGTCTGCACCAAATACCAGCAACGCTGGCGTCAGTGAGGCCGATTTGTCCGAGACACGGGCAGGTCACGATGACTATCCATGACGAATGTATCTCGGCGTCTAGGATACTTCGCTACGTTCCGTTGGGCCTATGGTACGAACCAACGATCAACCAGAAATCAACACGTAGCTCGCCAGTATTGGTGGCGTGATGGATATAGCACCTTTTGCTCAAAGCTTCACTCACGCTGTTAGACATTCTAATAGCAAGCAACTCGCAGCATGTTGTTCTTATATCAATTTGCTTCAAAACACTATAACACAACAGCAATCTCTGCGAAGCTCCGTTCGGGTGAGCGAGTGATGAGCTTCTGTGTAGGACCTTCAGCATCTGGTGCTGTTAGGGCGAGCTGGTGCATTGTTGCTAGCCGCAGCAAAGCAGGCCTCGGACAATATATATATTGGAAATTGATTGTCGGCGAGGAGACCTTCACCATCAATATTATCACCCCCCCCCCCAAAGCACATCGAGGATATCATCGATCAACGACATTGGATAACAGTCTTCACGGACATCGCATTGAACTTACGGTAGTCGATACAGAACCGTATCCCGCCGTCCGGCTTCCGGATCATCAATACCTGACTAGCCCAAGGGCTACTCGAAGGACGGATTAGCCCCAGATACGGACTGATCTCCGCCTCCATTATTTCTCACGTCACTGGCCTTCAACCGTACACAACGTACGAGCCACATTCTACGCAGGCGGTAAGCCCAAAGCCCCTTCAACTAGAACCGTTGCGTCCTCACCGATGTCACCGACCACGTTAGCTGTTACCAGTGCGTGACCGCTAGAAGATAATCTTACGGATGTAGCCATAGTCGCCATGAACGACTCGTGTTTACTGGCCACCCCCAATACCAACCTTTGTCTACCCTGCTCCATCGTAGCTCGAAAAACAGTGAATGCGTTGGTAGACTTCGTCGCAGGCAGTCGCGCTATGGATAAGGTGCCTCTACTGATCACAGTTGAAAGGTGGCGCGTTTGCAATACAAAGTCTTAGGCCACATAGACGGGGATATCGATACATTCCAGACATAGCCGCGCGTCAAAACCGTTCACAGTCATACACGCTTGTGGACGCCTGGAGGAGGTACTTAAGGTGGTGATTGCGATGGCATATCCCGACTGGGTTATAGAAATGCTTCTCTTCTTGTGGTCGCTGAATAGCCCTGACACTCATCGGGTCCATCTAAATTACACCTTTTTTTCATCTGAGAACAGTTGTGCCCATGCTCTGCGAGTTGCACTGCCCGCTTTAGCCAGTTCTTAATGTACTCGTGTTAAGCACCAGACATGCAATTCGCTCCTCATGCGCCATGTTCTCGGAGTCATGCAGCACTTCCTGTACCCTACGGACCGAGATTGATAACTGCAGCGATTCCTTAAGCGCTATGCCACTTTTAGATGCCTCTCAAAGGAGTCGATGCTTGGCCAGAGGGGCCATCTTTTTCGACCTTCCAGACCCTTTCTTCGAGCCGTACTCCCCTCCGGGATACTAAAGAAGCAATGTGCCTTGCAAGAGCGATTGACACGCCTATTGTTCTTCCGTTTTTACTCCTTCAGCGCCAAAATTTGATCTCTCTCAAAGTCGGTCAGTGGCTAGCCACGTTCTATCTACAGATACTAAATTTCAGAGTTATTGTAGCATGGTGAGGTTAATGAACGACCCCTCACGACTGTGTATCGAGATTGAGTACTCAGGGCACTTAGATTTGACTCAACTGACTTCAGTACCTTCTCCGTCTATACTTTTCGCGCTTCACCTACTCAGTCAAAGACAAAGTCTGGACTGAATCTTAACAACTGGTTATCGGATAGAGACAAGAAGCACCGCAAATGAACAGTTTTAGCGTGGTTTTTATTGGATATAAAGCGACAGCGTATAGCTCACGATTTGAAGTAAAAACGATGGAAAACGAGTTTTCTTCTTTCTTTTCCATATACACTGTAAACCCTCCTCCCAGAGGAGAAACTGTCTACTGGGATTTGAAAAAATCGTCGTAGTGCGTCACTGGCGCGACCGACTGGACTGAAGCTTAGAAATTGTGATGGCGTCGCTCTTGTATTTCGAAGATCCACGAACTTTTCCTCCAGAAATCCTCCCTGTCTGGGTGGAACTGGAACCGGCTCATGTTGGTATCAGTAGCACTGCCCATCTTGGTGAGTGAGCACCCTACAGTAAGCTCTCAATACAGTTGTCTATTTTGTAAAATTTTGCTAGACTTATGGTCAGACTAAGGATAAAATAGAAGCGAGCCCCTCCTCAGACTGCGTCCTCGATATAATCCTATTCCTTATATACTCGAGTCCTTATTGCACTCGTGTTTAATGGGCAGACAGACTTTACCGGCTGCTGCACTGTATCCGAGTGCTGTTAGGATCTATATCGATAATGAAAACAAGTGTCTATTCTGTGCTGTCATACCTTTTATGACTAGCACCATCTGACCAACCAATTCGCCGCCTTTGAACATTCGGTGTGACATACCGCGCCGAACAACGGAACAGCATCTTGACGAACCCCATCCCGCTGTTAACGAATCGATCGAGGCAGTAGATCTAAAAAACGACTGAATTTAATATTTGTTTCCGGGGTGTCAAGGGTCTTTGCGAGTGCGAGCATATGTCTCAAAGGGTATGTAACGAGGCTAGAGTTACCCATTCTAGCTTACACTGTAGGGTAGAGGAAGCTCACAATAGTTAAACCGAGTCTTAGGTTTGTGTAAAAATTTAACTCTGACTTATTTGGGACCAGGGCGGCTACCACTGGCCTTTTGTGAACAGCTCAAATGCAGGCTAATACCTGATTGGTCAATAAGTGTGTCTGGCATCACACTATCAACCAATCAGATGGTTACACATTAGCACATGCTAGCCGTGTGCCGCTATGCCTACTTAAGTAATAACTAAAATATATATACATACTTACTTAATTGGAGTCGGGCCCATTACATCACCCTCCTCCCTAAGTTGGTTTACGCAACATAAGTGCAAAGACTCAATCAAAGAAGATTTGAAGCCCACGAAGAAAAGACATCAAAGCCGGGACGAGGAGTGGCGACATCAGCGCGGCACTGGCGATAATGACCCAAGCTCCACAAGCTGTGAAGGCGCAGAGGGTTCAGCGCGACGTCTGCTGGCTCACACAATACGGCTTCTGCGACGTTGAGAGCCAAACCCGGGGCTTGGAGAACACAGCACCATGGCGACTAGGTGGAATCATAAAACACAAAGAGATCTCACGACGACAACTTGGCGATGTAGTGGTCAACTCATGTGACTTGAAGGCACGCCGGACGAGTCCACACACGCACACGCGAGCGCGTATTGCTGGCCAAAACAAGAAACACTAGCGTAGGCAGATCTGGTCAATATTATACAGATCATACACTACAATGCTAGTCTCTACTGCTTGTCCCTTGATCAAACTCGAGGGGACCAAAGATTCCGGGGGGCTCGACGATCGACGTTGGTTCTGGGTACTAGAATTTCCCGATGCAGGAAGAAAGCATCCCGAATCCTGCGGTTACCTGCAAATACGGTCTTTACGATCGGTTGGCCATGCCGTTTGACCTATGGAATGCGGTTCCAGCATTTGAACGGTTGATGGAGACGGTTCTGGTGGATCTCAAGTGGAGAATTTGTCTGGTGTATTTGGATGACTGTGTCATCTTCAGCAAGGACTTTCCGTCGCATCTCATGCGAGTTCGCCAGGTGTTAGCACGGTTTCGTGAGGTGGATTTAGGCTCTAGATGAAGAAGTGTCGCTGCGTACGGAGCCAAGTTGCGTTTTAGGACACATAGTGACTCCGAGCGGCTTCAAACCCTGGAAAAATCAAGGCGGTGATGAATGTGAGGCAACCTCAAGACTTGCACGAGATACGGTCATTTTGGGGGTTAACTAGCTATTTTCGGCGGTATATTCAGGGCTCCGCGTTGATATCTGCGCCGTTGGAACGGCAGCAGGAGAAGGATGCACAGTTCAAGTAGAATGAGGACTGTGGGGTGGCCTTCCGTCAGCTGAGTGTGCTTTAGTGAAGTCACCAATCTTGGTGTACACTGACCCTAAAAAACGGTTCAGGTTGTACATCGACTCGTCAAGATATGCCGTTGGACCGTGTTTAATGCACGATGTGGATGGTCGCGATCGTGTGGTCGCCTCTGCAAGCAAGTTGATAACGGGTCTCAGAAAAATTGGATCAGGAAGCAAGACGACTATCCAAATTAAGTGCTGGGGTATAGTGTGGGCTACGCGGAAGTTCCGCTACTACTCGGACAAGCACGAATTCGACTTGTATGCGGACCACAAGGTCGTGGCGTGAGTCTTTAGTCCACAAACTCTAAGCTAGCATGGTGGGCGATGGAGCTTTCTAGTCTACAGGTCAAGGTTGATCACAAGCCTGGTACAGCAATCAGTTAGGTTATTTTGAAAGGATCAGTCGCGAATTTACCCAGTTAACAAGTTGAGTTTATATTCTTATTTAACTAGCCTGTTACCACTAAATTACCACAACCAAGCCTTAAGCTCCAGCCGTCGTATAGGACATTGTCGCATAACAGCCCCGAACCGGACGACTCGTGGCACCGGTCATAAATGAACATCTTTAGCATATGGATGCACAATTATATATTGAAATTGCAGTTTGATATTGTAATTCCTCTTTCCTGGTGAATGAAGAAGACTTATGCACTTCCAAGCAAAACGGACGCTGATAGGTATTTACCATGTGTCTACTTACTTCCCATTCCAACCTACGTCTTACGCATACCTATGTTCGGAACTAACCACCTGTCAGCTCTTCCAATCTTCCCGCTGATCAACCGATCGACTGATCATTTATCGCCACTTTGACTGTCGATCGCCATCTTGACTGTCGATTTCGATCGGGCTCCCTTGTTCGTCCTACAGATTGATCACACTATCGCCGAGAGGTGGTCGTCAGCTGTCCTTCCATGAATAGCGTATCTTGAACGTAGATCGTGGCTTGATAGTGCCCATCCATGGTCTGCAGGTCTTCACTGTCGACCATATTCGGTCTTCTCAGCTGCCGGTCGTTCAGCCTTGATCGTTGATCGGTGACTCCTCATTGTCGATCGGTCGGTCGTGACCAGTGGTCCATCGACCGCACAGGTCCACCATTAGTCATCTGTAGTCTGTGAACATCTCTCCCGGGTCAAAGTTGCATCTCAGTCCACCTACATCAGTTCTCCGTCTTCCGCCATCGGTAGCATTCTGCTTCCTGTCGTGCCAGAGTCCTACGGTTGATGTCCAACCTTCCCCTGCGATCGGGTCCCTTGCCCCTCGATCGCCGTATTACACCTGATCTGGGAGGACCTTGTCGACTGGCAGCGTGGGTTCCAAAATATTTTGTTTGCGTATCACCACTAAAACATGGTCGATTTACATGGGAGGTAGTATTGTGCGTTCTACTCCAAATTTCCATCCGCGGTTCTTTAGTTTTTTTTTTTTAATCTATTGGCACGAGAAATGAAACCAAATCGTCGGGGGGATTCTCAGACTAATTCTGTCACTAGTGTTAATGCTAACCAGACTCTTTGGTCGAATGAAGCTCTTGTGATCATTCCACTGAATAGGTTATGTCCTATCGACATCACACTGCTGCTTTTGGCGCAGTCTTCAATAACAGTCAAGCTCGTCATGCACAATATGGCCAAATTACTTGAATTTGCTCTAAACGTTTTATAAAAACGAAGCGGCATTAAGCAATAATGATTTCTACAATAGCAAAAGATGTGTTTAATTTTTCCTGTAGTGATTAGCGTTCGTGGCGCCTGCTACGCGAGCGCGTGGTCTTATATAAATACGACTAAGCTAAATCATAGTATTAGTTCGATAAAAAATTGGTAAAATCATCATTTAGATCACATTTAGCAGAAAATGAATAATTTGTTACTAAATCCCCCGTGTATTACAGTGTTATCTACTGGAAAAATTCTCTGTACACAATGTTTTTGGTGTGCGCCGCGCCGTCAACAAAGTCTCTCGGATCAATGGCTATCTTGATCGTCTTTCTGGATGTTACTCGAGATAGGGCAACTTATAGCTGTCCGTGTGCGAACAGAGGTGATTCCAGGTAAATACCTACGTGGTGAATTGACTGACCTTGCGCCTTGTTAATCGTCATCGCAACCGCTGGTACTACTGGGAACTGCTTGCGTGAAGAATAAACAGAAATTCTTTATCCTCGTCATCGCTCAGAAACACGATACGCGGGATAAACACGCGTTATCCACATCGAGGGCCAGACATTATAGTCGCATCAATGCATTTCTCTCGCAAGGATACCACTCACAGACGCGTTCCGTTGCACAACCTTCGTCGCTATTTCGATTCCGAATCATAATGATAGGAGTGCCAACTTTGAGAACCATCTTGTGAGGAGGCATTCCTGAGAAATTGAGTGAGTTCAAAACCTCAGTCTCGAATAGGTTCTGATCTCCGGGACCGTCGAGGCTGTCGTTGGAGAGATATTCTCGTGTCTCTCCAGATAATCTCTCAGCTACCATTTCGTTGATCCGATGAACGCTTGCATTGGTTGGCGCCAAAATCGCACGATCCACAAAGTACTGATTGGGCAAGTCAGCATCACCCACCCCGGGGTAAATCGCACCGATCAGTGCGTTGATACTGCGAGTACGCTGATCATCTTCAGGCTCGTCCGATTCGCGTTCACCTTTAGGATCCAATGGTGGAAGCAAATTGAAATTCGGGGCTTCGTACTCTGAATCATCATCAGAGGAATCTTGAATAGAAGTCAAGGAATCACCGGAGACTGGAGTAACGCACATGCTCTGCCGGATACAGATGTCGTTGTCGTCAATATCGCGATTCACCGGATGGCGATACTCTCCAATTTAAAGTAAGAACTCCGAAAATTCGGCCAAATCCGCAGCATCATCTGGATCAAGCGCCGTTTACACACGCATATTATCTATCAAACGCAGCTGGCGTAGGTGCTGCCGCTTTAAAACACACCTTTAGCGTTTCAGCCCCTGGTAGCATTTTTTAAGACCGGTAGGATTTGACGATGGTCACCACTCGGCCATAGTTCTTCCCCCCCCCCCCCCCCCCCCCCAGACGGCTCGACTTCATTATTTGTGACGTCGCGAAAAGTGCGGTCAATAGCTTCAAAACACGCTCGATGCGTCATCGGTGCCTCATCCCAAATAATCAAAATGGCCCCGTGTATCAATTCCGCTTTCTGGCTCTGTTTCGGAATATGTTCCGCTTAAGTTCAATCTGGACTGTACGATAGGGCGGTTCGAAATAAAAGGGAATTTGTATGTGAGTTGGTCGTTCAATAGTATCAAAGTGGTAAATTCACAATAGCACCGAAAAACTAAACTGCAGGTATAAAATGTTGCATACACGCTGTATATCCCCACCGCTACGTTTACTTGTGTCTCCACGTGAGCTTCATGTGCTGACAGCGTTTTCTGACAGCGTTTCCATCCGGCAACCTCATTGTCAGTGGGCCATTGGGGAGTTCGTTAACTTCGCACTAGACGGTTAACATATATTACCTGCTGGTATAGTTTTGGGCAGCGTTACAAGCATTGCGTGTGCTGAAGTTTGTATTATATGACTCGGAGTAGTTCCAGGATAGCATCCCGGTACGGATGTGTATACACTATGCCGTTTATGTATTATAGTGTGAACTAGCCCATTGTGGTCGCGACCAGAGACTCGGATCTCAAGGGTTACTCTGGGTTACAGCGTCGGAGATAAATGAAGCCAAACTGACCAACCACAAGGTGCAGCATGTATTTCGGGTCGCGATCCCGTTAAGAACGGCTGTTAACGGTGTCGGCCGCTCCGATATTCCATTTACAGTGCGTATGTATGGGCTTTAGCCGGTGAAATGTGCGGAATAGACTGCTTTCGTTAATAACATTTTACAGAACTGTAGGTTAAGAAACAGACCGCTTCTTAAGTATTCAGCTATTAATATATCTATATTCTTGTACTGCATGTGCACTCGTTATTGAATGCGTATAAGCGTCACCTGACAATGGTCAGAACGAGTCTTTATTGGCGTGTTGTTGTTTCCACGAGAAGCTCATTCACATGCTGGCAGATGACGCTTGCGTGACGCTTCCGGCAGGATTCGCACAATAAAGAGCGTTAAACCAATGCATCATCATCTGCATTTTACCAACTCTCTTCATCTTTCGTTGAGATTGAGATTGCAGCCACATGCAGACCCTCACAAGAGACATAATACAATCCATTTCATCTCATACAACTCAGTTGTATCAGTTGTAACAACTGACGAGATTGCGAGTTATTCGAGGTGGACTGGGATTGTTGAGTATCCACCTGTTACAATGGGACCTACAACCAAGAAAGTAATCTTTCTTCTCCCCCAAACGTGCACAATCACCCTTCATCCAATCAGCAGCCTCCATTCCGATTGTGGCAAGTGCACATGCGCATTTCAGCGATAATCATTACCGCTGTTCTCACGACCCCACAACGTCATGACATCAATGCATACCGACTCCGTCATTCCTCAATTTGCCTCTCACCTCTCATAGCTCAACCGCAATGGGAGTCACGACATCAGAGGCGAAAAACATCACGTCTGACTCGGGTACAGGCCTTATGGCCAAAGGACCCGAGGCTCTGCACGACCTCATGCTGTCCAACATCGAGACAGCCACGGGCCGTTCGATGCCCCGTATGGACATTCGATTCAACAACTTGTCAGTCACAGCCGACATCGTTGTCGTCGAGGACGATGGCTCCAAACAGGAGCTACCGACGCTGCCCAACACCGTGAAAAAGGCCTTCGCTGGGCCCAAGAAACGCTCGGTGCGCAAGCAAATCCTCAAGAATGTCAGTGGTGTCTTCAAACCAGGCACCATCACACTCTTGCTGGGTCAACCGGGCTCCG